CACCTACGAGGGTGCGGCGGGAGGGCGCCGGGGCGCCGGAATGGGCTGGCCGCTCAGAAACTGGAGTCGGACTTTGGGAGCCGGGGTCGGGAAAGCCGGAGTTGGAGAGATGGGGTGGAAGCTGGAGTCGGGAAGGCCCGCCCCAGGATGGCAACTGTCGGCGGTAGTGGAAATACAAAGAATTTGTCGCAACGCCACTTTGGTGCGGGCTCTGGGCCAAGAATAATATCCCAAATTCGTCGTAACGCCAGCTCCCGGTGGGCCATGGGCCATCATACTGCGAATTCGACCCACTGGAATGAGGAGGAGACAGACAGGAAGGGATCGAGAAAGGAGGCGCCCACCAGAGATTTAACTGCAGGCTTGGAGGTTGGCGCGCCGCCGGTCAAGGTACGAGTGCTGGCTACGACGGGAGGCCGTGCGCAAATCTTTTAAAGTCGCCCACTGAACTCGCCATTCTGGGTGTACTCCTGGATTTCGATCCCCGACGGCCACCACGCTGGACGGCAGCAGCTTTGGCGAGTCTGTCTGCAACGTCATTTCCCAAGGCCGAGAACTGGAGCTGGGCCAAAGTTGGGCACTGGAGCTTGGCGGCCGCGGCATCTAGCCGCTCGCACCCCTGCCCCATCCCGGCGGCAGCTCTCTTCTCGAGGTTCGCCTCCCAGACCTCCTCGGGGCGGTGCTTGAGAAAGGCGGGAGGCGCAACCGTCATTTGCAATACCTGGCCATCCGAAGTCCCGATCTCGAAAGGGCGCCTCGGGGCCCACGAGATGCGCCCACGGCTGAACATGGCGGCGCCAAGAGTGCCTCGACAGCCCACCCATGTCTCGGGGGGCCTCGATGACACTCTTGACTCGCTGCTAAAATTCCGCAAGGAGGGGCCGAGAAGGCCGACCTGAGCGGTGAGTCTCCAGACCAACAACTGCGGTAGATGGCTGGCCCCAGCTCAGCCCCCCTAGCTGGATCTCCCAAGAGACATAGGCCGATGGCTCTGAAACTGGCGCGACTTCGGGGCCCCGCAGCGCCGAGGCAGGAATGGTCCGGTTTAAAGTTGGTTCGGAATTGGCGAGGGATGCAACTTCAGCGCCGCAATAATTAGCCTGATCCAAGCCTGGTCGGTAGAGCTTGCGCATGTCGGCGCCGGCCCTCTTCGGCGCCTGCAGTCTGCGCTTCCGCTGGCGCATCTCGCATAATCGCTGGCGCATGACTGTGCGCCCTCGTCGGCTACGAACTCCCTCCTGCCGCGACAGCGGCAACTCTTCTTTCTGGCGCGCAAGCTGGCACGACACCTCCAGTGACAGCGCCGGCCAAACCTCTCGGAACCAGCACGGGGGCCCCCCCACCCCCACCCCCCCCACCCCACCCAGCAAGCACCCCAATGTCGCTTCTCCTTCCTGCCGCGAGACAAGTGTGCCACCCGCGCTGAGAGCTCCCCCCCCTTGGGCGACATCCAGAACTGAGGACCCCAGGACTTCTGCCCCCTGGCAACAAGCAACGCAGGACTGCACGGCGCCCAGACCGGACTCGACGACAGTCCGGACGCCAGCCCAACAGCCTGGCCCTGGCCCCGCAGCCGCTGCAGCGGCCGAGGTAGGCAGGCGGGCCTCCGAGCCCGCGCGCGCTGCAGCGCGCCGGCGGAGGCGGCGCTGAGCATCGGCGGCCGAGGGCCCCACAGCTCACTCGCCGCTGGTGTCGGCGGCGCGGTCGAGGGCCGGGACGACGCGCTCGCCACCCTTGGCGGGCCTCTCGGTCTGGTCGTCATCCGCGTCGTGGAAGTCGTCCTCCACCTCGGGGCCTGGCGTCGTGAGCCGGCCCCCAGCGGCTTCGGCTGCCGCTGGCCGAGGTGGCGGCTGAGGGGCCTGAACTGCTTCTGGCGCCGAGTTGTTCTCAAAGGCGCCAGGGGCATTGTGTCGTTGAATGTTTCGCGATGCGGTTGGCCAGAACAGAGAAACTGCAATCCCAAACAAAGAGAAAGCGACACCTGTCAGGCCAAAAACTATAGAGAAACGTCAACCCATACCAAAAGCAACAGAAAACCATTGACCGAAACGAGACGCATGCAAAACTGGAATGCAAAATTGGCAAGCAGATCGCAGAAAGAACCGAAAACGACGAGATAGTAATCCAGAACGGAGAAGAGGAAAAAAAACATGATACCAGAGAAAAACCCAATCATAATTATTTTAGGGCCACAGGGCTATGGGGCTACAAGGTTATATAGGACCATAGGGCTATAGGGCTATAGGGCTATAGGGCTACAGGGCTATAGAGCTGTAGGGCTATAGGGCTATAATTTTATATGGTTATAGGGCTATAGGGCTATAGGGCTATAAGGCTATGGGGCTATAGGGCTATAGGGCTATAGGGCTATAAGGCTACAGGGCTATAGGGCTGTAGGGCTATAGGGCTTTAAGGCTATAGGGATATAGGGGCTATAGGGCTATAGGGCCATGGGGCTACAGGGCTGTCGGGCTATAGGGCTATGGGGCTATAAGGCTATAGGGCTATAGAGCTATCATGCTATAGGGTTATAGATCTACAGGGCTATAGGTCTACAGGGCCATGGGTCTATAGGGCTATAGGGCTATGGGGCTGTAGGGCTTCACGGCTATAGGGCTATAGGGCTATAGGGCTATAGGGCTATAGGGCCAACCTGG